GTGGGTTTGCACTCTTGGGCCCAATCTCAAGAAGGTCATCTTGGTCCCAATTCTGAGTTTTCGTATCAATTTTTTTTATCTTCAGTCGCACAATCTGTGAGTACGCAACACGTACTCACCCTATGGAGGGAAATGTCTTTGACTAAAACTCATAGGGGGTTTGGGTTATTATTTTTATCACATTGATTTTTTCTGTAGTTAAACATTTCACATGGCTTTGAATGATTAGAGCAGATTGTGTCTTTATATCACTCATGGTTCGCCGGAACGTCGCGATACACTGTCGTGGACACTGCTGTTCCAGTTCCACTGCAGTCTCTCGGTAATGTCGCGGAAGAAACGAATATTGTTTAATTAAAATGAGAAAAAATAATGTCAAATAAGTTTTAAATGTTAATATTGAAGGAGAATAATATGCAAACTATCATTAAAACTTCATTTTTAATTTTAGAACAATTCTTTAAACCTTGAGAAGTGTAAAAATGCACAAAATAATGTAAAAAATCCGAATAAGGGTGAAATTGTAAGTTATGAAAATATCTCTTTACCTAAAAAAGAAATAAAAAATAACTATGACTAGATTGAAAATTTAGAAAACTTAAAAACTAATCATATTTTTCCCGGTCATTCCTTTTGTCTAAGATCAAATCACATTTAAAGTATTGGAGCTAATTGTATGTTTTTTTAAAATTTTAACTTAAAGTCCAAACACTAATTTGACATTGTTCAGCAACCATTGGAGAGTTGGAGAAGTAAATTAAATGATTCATGCCGGTTCAATTCCGCTCCGGCCCGTTCCAATACCCTTGACTGCCACGACAGTCCGATTTATCGTATTGTCCCGGCGTTCCGACCAATTTTTGTCCATTTCCCGACGTTCCAGTCCCGGAACGATTTTGTTACGGAATCCGAAATAGAGAGGGCCGTTGCCGTTCTGTTCCAGCGCCGTTCCTGTTCCTTATCACCCATTAGAATCTCGAAATCTTGCCATTTCCATCATGTTTCTTTTCTTCTAATTTTCGATATTAGGACAATGCTTATAAAACAATTTCAGAGACGATATTAGGACAATGCTTATAAAACAATTTCAGAGACAGTTCTTAATATGAATCTGTAAGTACTAGCTTAGTAATTTTTGTATAGTATTTATGAAGTTTATAGCTCTAGTACTATAAACGTGTTATTACGCTTTTATTACTTAGTGTTAGTTTGTAGAGTTTATTGTAGAGTTGATGTAACGGCTATTTAAACCTTTTTGTTACCGTTGGAACTCAATACTCTCATAATCGAGATTAATAAAATTTCACCTTCTTCCTTTCTCTTCCTATGGCAATTCGATATGTGTTCATCACAAACCTTAATCTTTAGGTGTTGACATGGTATCAATTTACCATCGATTCGTTTCTTTTAGACGCATCAACACAATTTTTCTATGCTCTGTTATCCTCTCTCTGTTGACCTATTATTTTATATGGAGAATTATCTTGTCTAAGTTAATCTTATCTTAACAACCGAACGGCCCTAAAGATTTAACTTATTGTATTGGGAACATCTATAATTAATGCTTATTGCTAAAAACGTAATTATGTTATTTAAATTGCTAAAACGATCTAACATGATCATAAAAAAATACGATCGAAAAATTTATCAACTCGGGTGTTGCCTAAATATAACAATTTTTTTGATAGTACAAACAAAATTTTGATAACACGTGATCTTTAATTGAAATACCGTTCAACATAACATAAAATATCTTAAGGAGTGGCTAGCTTGAGCCTACATATATGATAATCATACATAGTTCGCAAAGTAAAATTTATATCTCCCGTGTGATTTATAAGCTATTGCACTAGGACGCAAAATTTATTAAATGCACTTTTAAGTGTCAGCAATTATTAATCAAGTGGATGGTCATCTTGACGGTATCCTGTGAAGGCATCATCATGCATGTTTTATCTCCTTATGCGAAATGAAAAAAAAATGTTTCACTGCAACAATTAATTTTTCGTTGACAAAACTTGACTATCATATATTTAAAGCAATAAATTTGAACTCCGTATTTTAATTATAAATACATCATTAATTAAATATAGTGGAAAATTTAAAAAACAAAAATATATAACGACAATAAAGATGAATTGCTAGTAAAAGGTAAATATCTAACCATTTGATGAAAAATTTCTATATTGTTCGCCTAAGTAAGTGTATATAATATTGATTTCTTTTCTATGTTTTTTTTAGGGAAATATTGTTTTCTTCCATTATCTCGGTATTCTCGGTTTTAGGAACACATTTTGTTGTGGATTCAGGCCCACAAACAATAACAAGTCACACAAAATGAAAATCAAACAAGGAAGAACATACAGATATCATTGTGTTGACTCAACCGACTGTTGACACCGATGCAGATAACACAACTACAGTTACTACATATCTAAAACTGAAAGCAATAGAACAGATAAAGAACACAATATTTAAAGTGGTTCGACCTGTATCACCACAGGCCTACATCCACTATGCAGAGAGAACAAAATCCACTAGATCAAGAAGGTTACAGATTACAAGATAGTGATAACACTCAAGCTCTCAACAGCTATTTCACCTAAGTTGTATTGACACTCCCCTGTGTATACCTCACTGTTTCTCTCTTGTTTCCCAACCCCAAATCTCACAAACCCTGTGAAGATTTCCTTCTTGCATTATCCCCTTGATTAGCCTTAGCCTTCAAGCCTCTCCACCAAGTGCTTTATATATGTAGCAAACCCTAGAAAAAAGTAAACTTGGTCCCCAAGCAAACCACTGAGAGCTCGACAGGTGTCCACCACTTTCAGAGTGGTCCTCACGGGTTCTGTCTTCTAGTGTAACAGCTCCTTACACTTTCAAGCTCATCCATTCGCTTTACTTTAACTGTTGACTCAGATAAAGTATCCACTTGGCATGTACACGTGGATATGAGTCATAGAATAACAATTCTCCATCTTGACTCATACTCCACGTAGGCTCCTCTTGCCACTCTCCTCTCTGCACCCTAGCTTCTTACCAAGCTAGATCCACCTAGCTTCGTACCAAGCTAGCACCCCCTAGCTTATTACCAAGCTAGCACTGCCTACAGCAGCTCACCAAGTCCATACAATACTTGAACTTTGAAACCGGTAAAGACTTTTTAAGCATATCCCCAGCATTCTCAGCTGTATGCACCTTCTCCACCTTCACATCAACGTGTTTCGACCTTTGATGTCTTAACAAGTGAAATGTACTTTGGTGTCACAGTACACATTCACATTCTCCTGCTCAATCCTCAACTCCTGAACCATCCTAATCATCCACATAGCTTCTTTGACTGCCTCTGTCACCGCCACGTAGCTTCTGTCCTAGACAAAGCTACCACCGATTGGAGGTCTGACTTCCAACTCAATGCAGTCCCAAAGAGAGTGAACACATATCCTATTAAGGATTTCCTTGTTTCAACACTACCAGCATAATCTGAGTCCTCAAGACCATTCACCGCATCACCTTCTATTCCATCATTCCGCTTGAATAGAAGTCCAATCTCAGCAGATCCATTCATGTATCTCAAAGTCCACTTGAGTGCTTCCCAATGTGCCTGCCCTGGATCAGCCATAAACTTGTTGATCACACTTGCAGCGTGTGCCAAATCCGGCCGACTGTACATCATACAATACATCAAGCTCCCGACCGCATTAGCATTAGGCACCTTTGACATGTACCTCTGCTCTTCATCAGTTGCAGGTGCTTGGGACTTTGAAACTCTGAAATGCTGCCCCATAGGAGTAGACACTACCCTGGACTGATGCTTGTTGTATCTCAACAAGAGCTTGTCAACATAAGACTGTTGGGACAGGAACCAGTGACCACACTTTATGTTCTTCACTATCTGCGTTCCCAAGATCATCTTGGCAGACCCCAAGTCTTCCATGTCAAACTCAGATTTCATCTTCTCCTTGATATCATATATCTCCTCCTTGGACTTGCTTGCTATGAGCATGTCATCCTCATACAACAACAAATAAGCTCTCACCGTTCCTTCTGCTTCCCTCACATACACACCATGTGAGACAGTTGTTGTAACATTCACCTGTTCCAACACAAGGTCATACCGAGCTACTAGTGCCAAGATGAATCTGATTGAGCAATGTTTAACCACCGGTGAAAATATTTCCTTGAAATCTATCCCTTTCACATGTGAGAATCCCCTAGCAACCGATCTAGCCTTGTACCTAGGCTTCTCCCTGGGGATTCCCTCATTCTTGAAAAGCCATCGACAACTCACCGGCTTCTTCCCACTTGGTCTCTTCACCAAGGCCCAAGTCTCATTCTTCTTCACTGAAGCTATCTCTTCCCTCATAGCTTCACTCCACTTTCTCCTTTCCTTCCCATTAATTACTTCTTGGTAAGTGGCTGGCTCACCTTCTTCAATCTCAGAAGCAACATTGAGTGTATAGGAAATCATATCAGCTTGTCCAAACCTTGTAGGTGGTTTAATTTGTCTCCTGGTTCTATCTCTGGCCAACTGGTAATCCTTCAGATCCTCCTCTGATTCAGAACTTTCACTGTGATCCGATTCTTCCTGAGCATTTGTGGTCACAACCTGCTCAATTGTGGTCTCTTGTGGAAACTCCACCTCAACCTGAGTACAATCACTTGAAGTTACTTGAGTAGACTGATATCCAATCATCTTTGCCATCTTCATCAAAGACTACATCCCTACTCACAATACACTTCCCTTGACCAGGTTCTAGACACCATAACTTAAACCCCTTAACCCAATTGGATAACCAATGAAGGCACATTTGAGGGCTCTTGGTTCCAATTTATCACCTTTAACACGGGCATAGGCTAAACAACCAAAGACCTTCAAATTACTGAAATTAGGAGGTTTACCATACCATTTCTCATATGAAGTTTTGAAATCACTTGCAGTGGTGGGACTTTTGTTGTTGAGACATGCTGTTGTTACCACATCTTCTCCCCATAACTTCTTACCAATAACCGTCTATCAAGACATATGGTAGATCCCGTTGTTTCTGAATGCCTTCATAACAACCACACCCCTTAGACACCTCCAGAATGCCATCGTCCCCACTGAACGTGTGGCCACTCTTGTCTAAGAATCCAAGAGATATCAAGTTCCTCTTGACCTGAGGAACAAATCTCACTTCTGGCATGATCCTATCAATTCCATCAAGCATCTTGATTCTTACCGAACCAACCCCTTTCACATCGCAAACATCATTATTCCCCAATAAGACTGTACCCCTCTCATTCAACTCGAGAGTTTCAAACCAGTCCTTATTTTATGTCATGTGAAAAGAACACCCTGAATCCAATATCCAATCATCTGTTACATCACCTTCAGTGACAACAAGGACATCATAGGATTCAAAATCCTCAGCTATAATACCAGCTTCACCATTGTGCCTTTGATCTTGTGCTTTCTTCTCCGGGCAATCCTTCTTAAAGTGACCAGGTTTCTTGCACCTATAACACTCCAACTGACCCCTCTCTACCGGAGTCCTCTTGCCCTGTGCTAACTTAGATATGATCTGTTGGCGCCAGATTTCTACCAAGAAAGAAATCCGCCTCACTTGGGAAGTAAAGATTGGCGAAAGATTTGTTCCCATGTTTATTTTGGAAATTTAGAGTCCTACCTTTGTAATTCTTTATGACTCAGATTTATTTCCTTGTACTTTACTCTTGTTAGGAATATTTTATAGTTATCTAGATTAGATCTAGATATTGACTAGGATTATGTTTCCTAGTTATTCGGTTCCTTTAGAAGACAGGTCTTTGGAGGCCGATCTCAAGCCTATATAAGGCTCCTCACCTTACAAAGACCGTGACACTTTTGTTGGGAGAAAAATCACTCCATAGCTTTGAAGAATCGCTGAAACGTTCTTCTGAAAAGAAATGTGCCATCGTTGGATGTGTCAACATATAAAGATTTGCTGTATAGATCTCTTGAGAGATCAACCGCGTCACTGAAGGGAGTTCAGGCCAGAAAGGAGTTCTAGGTACGCGGTGTGGAGCTGCTGTTGGAAGAAACACGGAGTTCGAGTTGTGTGCAAGAACGACATATTACATAAAGAGGGAGTCTTTAGTGTTTTTATTAAGTCCTATTAATGTACACTATAAATCTGAACTAGTGAAATCGTGTTTGCAGGTCCACGTGGATGTAGGGCACAATTGTGTCTGAACCACATTAATCCTTGTGTTATGTTTATTTACTTTAAGTAGAGTATAACTGTGTCAATACAAGATTTACAGTTGTAACTGAATATTGTTTCCACAACTTAACTGTTACAACTTAGGTTAATTGATTTCTATAGGCATATAAATCAACAATTGGCATCAAGAGTCTCTCACTAGATATACATAGTGTGTGATTTTGGGAATTTGATTTATTTGCCATTTATTGTTCATAGGTACTATGAGTTCTCATATGGAAGGAGGTTCCACTACTCGCCCACCGCTGCTCACGGGAACCAACTACTCCTATTGGAAAACTAAGATGAAGATGTTGATAAAGTCAATGGATGAAGATGCATGGCGAACAGTGTTAACTGGATGGAAGCGACCCGTTGCCACATATGAGAAAGGGAATGAAATTGAGAAGCATGAGAAAGACTGGAGCAAAGCCGAACAAATTGCAGCAAATATGAATTCCGAAGCATTGAATGCTATATTCAATGGAATTGATATCAATCAATTCAAGATAATATCGGCGTGTGAGTGTGCTAAAGAAGCATGGGAGAAACTCCAAACAGCTTACGAGGGAACTGCTTCAGTCACACTATCCAAACTTCAAATGCTTTCCACCCGGTTTGAAGATCTTCGTATGGAAGAAAATGAGACCGTGAGCGAGTTTAACTCCATATTATGTGAAATATCAAATGAAGCTCATGGCCTCGGTGAAACTTATCCTGAAGTTAAACTTGTACGAAAAGTGCTCAGATCCATGCCAGACCGATTCGCGTACAAGATCACTGCCATAGACGAAGCAAGTGATGTGGACTCATTGCGACTTGAGGATCTGATTGGAAATCTACAAACTTTTGAAAACAAGTTGAACATCAGCAGAATGGACAAGGAGATGAAAATTGCTCTGCAAACTGTATCGGACACCACAACATCTGTGCCTACTGTTCCTATGACAGCACTTGAAGTCAAGCTCACAAAATCCATGTCCTTAATAGCAAAAAACTTCGGAAAATTCATCAACAGAAATGGACATCCTACAAACTCTGAGAGAAAACCCAGGACTTCTACAGATGAGCCAGAAGTCAAGAAGGGAATTCGATGTAGAGAGTGTCATGGTTATGGTCATATCCAAGCAGAATGTGCTAACACTCTGAAAAAACAAAGAAAATCACTTGCCACAACTTGGAGTGATGACAACTCAGAGTCTGGTGATGAGAGTGAAGCTAGTGACGATGATACAAACAATGATTTATGTGGAACTTGCAGAATCACAGAAGACACACTCGAAGACATCACGTGCACAGAACCGCCACATCTCAGATATGTCACACATGAAAATGAAAATTACGAAAATCTAAATATACATTTTCTGTCCACAGGGAGTGACGAATCAGAAGATGAAGGTGAAGAGTCCATCCAACAAATTCAAAAACAATTGGATGATCTCCTGAAGCAATGTCATGAAGTTAGTAATGAAAATAAACTCCTGAAAGAAAGAATCAAAGAACAAGAGGAAGAAACCAAAGGAGTTATCACAAAACTGAATGACAAGATTGATGAACTTGAGATGGAGATTGAATTCTTTGAAGTGGTACAGGACTTCGCGCAAAGAGACATCGACAATCTCAAAATTTGTTGAAGTATTGGCAGGACTATGATGGTGAAAGAGCAAAAAGAATCAGGAAAAATCTTTTTCCAAAAATGCATGCTGATGATCACCAAGATGTTTCACCGCCTGTTAGCACAATGTTCGAGGCTTCTGTCACTAAGATAAATTGCACTGCATTTCTTCCCTCAAATAGATTAGATGAAATCATAAATGCTCATCCTTCTAATTCCAAAAGAATTGGGTTAGGGTAAACTGATGGACAATCTAATGCTAACACTGGTTCAAACCAGAAAATCAGATTCGTCAATCCCACATCTTCCCATGTGAACAACCAAACCTATCCTACTAAGTTTATTCCTATCTGTCACTTCTGTCACAAAGTTGGGCATGTCAGGCCTAAATGCTTTAAAAGATGGAAATTGATAAATAAACAGTTAGCATATCAGACATCCGATTCCGCTGCGTGGGTTAGTTACTCTCAAAGTAACAACTCTTATAAACAAAGGATGACAAATGATAGTACTAACTGCTGGTCAGCTATTTTATCTTTAAATGCATGTGCTACTAACTCTTGGTATTTTGACAGTGGATGCTCCAAACATATGACAGGTGAAAGGAATTTCTTGTCAAATCTGCATAACATGTCTAGTGGACAGGTTACTTTTGGAGATGGAAATAAGGCTTATGTAAAAGGAAAATGGGACTTGAATGTTGGAGGATTGCCAAACTTGAACAATGTTCTGTATGTGGAAGGTTTGAAATCAAATCTTCTGAGTGTAAGTCAGTTGTGTGACCTATACGACTCTGTATTGTTCACAAAGCGTAAGTGTGAAGTATCTGATGAAAACAAAAATTGTGTTCTAACCGGATGCAGGTCCTCATATAATTGCTACAAAATTGATCAGATTGATAAATCGGATCAATGTCATCACACTTCTTCTGACCTCACTGATCTCTGGCATCGGAAACTAGGTCACTTAAATTTTCATGATCTAATCTGTCTTGTTAATACAGGATGCGTGAAAGGGGTACCACAACTGAAGACTGACACACCTGAGTCATGTGGTGACTGTCCTCTGGGAAAACAAGTACGGACATCTCACAAGAACACAGATCATGCAGGGACTAGTAGGACCTTGGAACTCATTCACATGGATTTAATGGGACCAATGCAAACCGAGAGCATTGGTGGAAAAAGGTATGTTCTAGTTTGTGTTGATGATTTCTCAAGGTTCACTTGGGTACGTTTTATTAAGGAAAAGTCAGAGACCTTTTATGAGTTCAAAACTCTGTGCAAAAAATTGCGAATTGAAAAATTCAGCAATATTGGAAGAATTCGAAGCGATCATGGAAGAGAGTTTGAAAACTCTTTGTTGAATTTGAATGCCTATCAAAGTCCACTCATCTGTTGAGACAGACTACATGTTACGACATTAAGTGACGTAACAGAATTATTGTGTTGTCACAGTAATAAATCTACGAAAAGCAGAATAAAGAACACAACAATTTAATGTGGTTCAGATACAAACGTACCCTACATCCACGAGGACTTGCAAAACTAGTTCAGATTTAAGTGTACATTAATAGGACTTAATAAAACACTAGAGACTCCCTCTTTATGTGATACGCCGTTCTTGCACACGACTCGAACTTGTTGATAATCAAAGCAATTCCTCCTCCGCACTCTTGGACTTCCTCCAATGTTGAACTTCCTTCAAACGGCGGATCGACCTCTCCCGAGATCTTTTAAGCACTTCTCCCGAAACGCCGATCTTCTTTATGGCCTGGTAGAAGAAACCTGTTCTGTTGCCACACCAGTCGTGCAGACAGGGCTGCAGCACGGGCTGCACCCTTCAAAGCCTTTATGCTGGGATTTTTTCTTTTTAAAGCTCCATCGGACTCATATGAGGTTGAGGGCCTTATATAGGCACGAATTCACCACCCTAAACCTAACTTCGGCCCTAAGAAATCGATTAACTAGGTAATAGAATCCTAGTCGATTTCTACTTCTATTCTAGATAAGTACAAAAGATACCTAACTAGAATATAATACATGGAAATAAATCTAAGTCCTAATAACAATATTACAAAAATAGGACTCTAATTAATTCCAAAATAAACATGGAAAACAAATCTTTGCCAATCTTTAATTTCCACGTATGGCGGATTTCTTCAATCTTCACAAATAGAAATCTCGTGCCAACAATCTCCCCCTTTGGCATAGATTGGTTAGAATCCATGTTTAACAAGAACTCCCCCTGCAGATGAGATTTACTCCCCCTGCAACAGAGATGCCACTTTTCTTCACCCGTCTTGGTCTTCTATCAGAGTGTCCCATCACGGGGCACGTTACAACGCAGCGGAATAGGGTGAATGCCGTGACAGACTTCCGTCTCAACCTTCCTTGTGAACACACGTCATCCAATAAGCAAAGCAAACAAATCAAAACCCAAAATCGGACACTAAGTATATCTAGTGACCCGCTCTGATACCAATTGTTGAATTTGAATGCCTATCAAAGTCCACTCATCTGTTGAGACAGACTACATGTTACGACATTAAGTGACGTAACAGAATTGTTGTGTTGTCACAGTAATAAATCTACGAAAAGCAGAATAAAGAACACAACAATTTAATGTGGTTCGGATACAAACGTACCCTACATCCACGAGGACTTGCAAAACTAGTTCAGATTTAAGTGTACATTAATAGGACTTAATAAAACACTAGAGACTCCCTCTTTATGTGATACGCCGTTCTTGCACACGACTCGAACTTGTTGATAATCAAAGCAATTCCTCCTCCGCACTCTTGGACTTCCTCCAATGTTGAACTTCCTTCAAACGGCGGATCGACCTCTCCCGAGATCTTTTAAGCACTTCTCCCGAAACGCCGATCTTCTTTATGGCCTGGTAGAAGAAACCTGTTCTGTTGCCACACCAGTCGTGCAGACAGGGCTGCACCCTTCAAAGCCTTTATGCTGGGATTTTTTCTTTTTAAAGCTCCATCGGACTCATATGAGGTTGAGGGCCTTATATAGGCACGAATTCACCACCCTAAACCTAACTTCGGCCCTAAGAAATCGATTAACTAGGTAATAGAATCCTAGTCGATTTCTACTTCTATTCTAGATAAGTACAAAAGATACCTAACTAGAATATAATACATGGAAATAAATCTAAGTCCTAATAACAATATTACAAAAATAGGACTCTAATTAATTCCAAAATAAACATGGAAAACAAATCTTTGCCAATCTTTAATTTCCACGTATGGCGGATTTCTTCAATCTTCACAAATAGAAATCTCGTGCCAACACTCTTCATTCAAAAAATTTTGTGATAAACATGGTATCTCTCACGAATTCTCAGCACCAAAGACACCACAGCAGAATGGTGTGGTAGAAAGAAAGAACAAAACTCTCCAAGAAATGACTCGCGTAATGCTCATCTCAGCAAGAGTGGCCACAAAGTTCTAGGCTGAAGCTATGAGCACTGCCTGCTACACCATAAACCATGTACACCTCAGACCAGGTACCAAGAAAACTCCATATGAAGTATGGAAAGTTAAGAAACCCAACTTAAGTTACTTTCATGTCTTTGGGTGTGAATGTTACATCTTGAACGATAGAGAACAACTCGGTAAGTTCTCTGCAAGAGGAGATAAATGTATTTTTCTTTGTTACTCTCTAAACAGCAGGGCATATCGCGTTTATAATGAACGTACAATGATTGTTATGGAATCCATTAATGTAAGATTTAATGAATTTTTATCTGCAGGAATGAATGAGGAAGACTCTAGTCCTGGAAAAACCATTGTACAAGTACAAACGCCAGAAGTCAGCACAGAAAAAGTGACAACGGTGAAGGAAAGCACTGAAGGAGTGACAGCAGTGAAGGAAAGCACATAAGAAAGAAAAAGGCCATCAAAACGAGTTGTAAAAAATCATCCTTCTGAACAGGTGATAGGAGAATTTGATGAAGGTATGAAAACTCGAAATAAGCCCAAAGTTGATTACCAAGAAATGGTCAGGTATGTTTGCTATACTTCTACTATAGAACCAAAAAACATCAAAGAAACAATTCTTGATGAGTATTGGGTACAAGCTATGCAAGAGGAACTTGAGCAGTTCACTCGACATGAATTGTGGGAACTTGTTCCACGACCCGACCAGGTAAACGTTATAGGTACAAAATGGGTGTTCAAAAACAAAACGGACGAACTTGGTAATATAACTCGCAACAAAGCTCGTCTTGTTGCTCAAGGATACATCCAAATTGAAGGAGTAGATTTCGATGAAACATTCGCTCCGGTAGCACGACTTGAGTCAATTCGACTTTTACTCTCAGTAGCTTGTGCTTTAAAGTTTAAACTTTTTCAAATGGATGTAAAAAGTGCGTTTTTAAATGGGCTCTTAAATGAAGAAGTGTATGTCGAACAACCAAAAGGTTTTCAAGATCCACTCAAACCTCAACATGTCTATAAACTTAAAAAGGCTCTATATGGTCTCAAACAAGCTCCTCGGGCTTGGTATGAGCGACTTACGACTTTTCTAGTTGAAAAGGATACAGAAGATGTGGGGTAGATAAAACACTATTTGTCAAAAAATTTAAAAACGAAATTCTTTTGGCCCAAATCTATGTGGACGATATTGTCTTTGGGTCTACTTGTGACCACAAAAAGGGTGAATTTATCTCTCAAATGTCAAAAGAATTTGAAATGGGTATGGTTGGAGAACTAACATACTTTCTTGGCTTGCAGGTAAAGCAGATGAAGGATGGAATTTTCATCACACAAAGCAAGTATGCTAAGAATCTGGTAAGTAGATTTGGGTTAGATAATGCGAAGCCTCTAAAAACTCCAATGAGCCCTACTGAAAAGTTGGGACGAGACTGTGACGGCACAGACGTGGATCCCACATTATACGGGAGTATGATTGGAAGTTTACTTTATCTCACTGCTAGTAGACCTGACATTTGTTTCAGTGTAGGAGTATGTGCTAGGTACCAATCAAATCCTAAAGAAAGTCACCTAAGTGCATTCAAGCGCATCATACGATACGTGAATGGAACTCTTGAACTAGCGATATGGTACTCCAAAGATACTAACACTTGCCTTGCAGGATACAGTGATGCTGACTGGGCAGGAGATGTGGATCACAGAAAAAGTACTACAGGAGGCTGTTTCTACATGGTAACAACTTAGTATCTTGGTACATTAAGAAACAAAATTGCATTTCCTTATCAACAGCTGAATCTGAGTACATAGCTGCAGGTAGTTGTTGCACTCAACTTCTTTGAATGCAACATATGTTAAATGGCTATGGCTTTCATGAAAAACTCCTGCATATATTCTGTGATAATGAAAGTGCCATAAATATCTCAAAAAACCCTGTCCAGCATTCTCGAACCAAACACATAGATCTTCGACACCATTTCATCAGGCAATTAGTTGAGCAGAAACGTGTGACTATAAATTATGTGTCCACATACAATCAACTAGCTGATATTTTCACAAAACCCCTTGATTTCCTTAGGTTTGATTCATTGCGTAAAGCGCTTGGAATTTGCCATGTGCAAAACTGAAATTTCTAAGATAGTGCAATTAATGTTTATGTCCGGATTGCACTTGATTTTTTAATCGGACATTATATGTGTCACCTACGAATGTGACATCTTTGCTTTTGGAATAGGAATGATAGGAGGTTCATTTTGACTAATTGTTTGTGTGTTAGTTTTTGTGAATTAATTTTTGTTTCCACAGTTAGCAACGATAGAAGTGTGATGCACCCTCTACCGGGAGTGATCAATGACTATGACCTCATTCATCTCAAAGATCATACCTCTATTGGGAGAATTATGCTACCGCATATGCATCCCTGACTTCTATTTAAAAGCTATGTGGATTCTTAAGGAGGTTGCCCTCCTAATGTTTGCTTGAACATCATATCAAAAAAAAAAAAAAAAAAAAAAGGGAAAAAGTTGGGGTGATATTCAAGCATATATTAGGAAATTCTCCTTGAAGTCCACGATCGAATTGCTGTGCGAATCGCATACGCATTCATAACCCTAATAAAATTACTTAAATTATGGTTTCTTGAGTATGGTCATGGGGTTATAGTTATATCGTGCATCCAAGAGTTTGCTCGTTGGCCTTCTATTGTGATTCTCTTTAAGATTATCAAATTAATTCATGAAAACCAAGCCCTCAACTTTTAATGTTGTGATATTCTTGATTTTCTTTTCCTTAAAAGATGTGATTTTTTCCTTTTTTCTTTTAAATTTATTTTTTATTTTTTATATATGGGCTTTGTGAATTTTTTTGGCTACTTGTTGTCTCTGGCCACGTGGCTATGGCCATGTCATCTGCCTTCTCTATTTTTTGATGTTTTGTGTGGAGAATATCTTGTTTGTTATTGGTCGCGGATTTTGTGGGATCTTCTTCTGATTTGAAAATAGCCGGTATCTGAAGAGTCCTCTCTTTTTCTGCCTCTTTTCTCGGTCCCTCTACTTTAAATATCTGCCCCTTCTAGGATTTTCCTCTCACACTTTAATCTCTCTCTTCTTCTCTACCGCCGTGCCTTTTCTTTTTCTCTCGTTTTCTCTGTGTTCACTATTCTCCATGGGCAAGAATCGATCTGCTGAGGGCTCCAAGAAACGACGCCACACTCCCTCTGCCTCGCCTGCTGAGAAGAAGTCCAGAAAATCCTCGAAGAATGTTCGCCCTAATGTTGTGGAGGTCTCTCATGTTCCCGTCGCCGCAGATCTGGACCCCATCTCTACTCCCGTGGCTTCACCATCACCGAGTCTCAAGACAAGTGATGTGCCTGACCCTGTTGACACCGGCGTGGCTGATCTTGACGGTGATAGCCTCTCTGCAACCCTACAAGATGATCTGATCTCAGATCCAGAGGTTGCCCCCCCGCAACGTTGTGTTTCCTGCTCAACTCCGTCGCTCTAATCGAAAACACGAAGGCCCATCTGTCTCCACTCCTCTCTCCGAGTCTGAAGTTCATCAATCCTCTTCTCCTGAGCCTATTCCTGAGGATGACCCTTTGCGTTCTGAATCCTCTGATTCATCTGTGAGCTCTCAACTCTCTGCTGGTAACTGTTTCTCAACCCTCTTTTATTCCGCTCTTGCTAAAGAAAACTGGGATAGTATGAGTAAGCGTGCGTGCTCTCCTGAGCGTGTTTTGTCTAGGGCTGTGTTACCTCTGTCTGGGATTTTCCGTCTTCTTAAATCTCAAGGGTTGCTTGGCACTATTGTGAGTGCACAACCTTTCGAACGATCTGTCATTGTTGAGTTTTATGCCAATCTTTCTGATCATTTTTCTGTTGAGGGGTCTCGTGGGTATCGGAAAGTGTATGTGAGGGGTTCCTTCTATTCTGTGACTCCTGCCTTGATTAATGAGTTTTATAAATGTCCAAACGAGGTTTCTCCCAAACCCTCTGTTTCAAAATATACTATGGCCTTTGTTCTCACTGCCAAAGTGTTAAAAAAATGGCCCGGTCCGAAGTTCTCTTTTAATGTTTCTAAGCTGACTCAGCTGTATTCGGTCCTGTTTAAGATAGGCATTTCCAACTGGTTTCCCACTACTCACAATGCTACTCTCAATCCCACCCAAGCTGAGTTTTTATGGTGCATCACTCATGACCTTAAAATCAATATTGGTGAATTGATTTTCAATCAGATTGGTGCGTTAGCCAATTCCCGAACCGAGCGTGAGCATCTGCCGTTTCCTTCTCTGATCTATCACCTTCTGATCAAACAAGGCCTGCCCACTCGTGATGCCACTCTGTTGGATCCTCATGGCCGTCCAATCACTATCCATGGTAAGGTCCTTTCTGAACATTTTGTTGATCTGCCTCCTGTCGATCCTTCTGTTGTTCAGACGGTCCCTCGTGCAAAGAAGGCTCCCATTGTCTCTGCCTCTGTTCCACCGCCAGTTGATGTGGTCACCAAGAATGAGCTCACTCGTTTTTAGTAGACTATCCAGGCTCAGCTAGCCCAGGGGTTTGCGTATATTCAAAATCAGCTGCTTAGGACTTTGGCATATTCTGGTCAGAAAGGGGGAGTAGAAACAACTCCAACCCATGCGGCTTCAACCAAGACCAAAGACAAAGACAAAAAGCAGGCATCCCTCCTCCTCCAAAGGCCAGCCCTCGTGATGAGAATGATCTGTTCTCTGGCTTTAGTTACTAAAGCAGAGATTTTTTTTTTGTGTTTATATGTCTTTCATCTTAAACTCTCTGCTATTACTTTTGGTCTGTAATAGCCAGTATTGTTTTTAGTCTGCATCTTAGACTCTATTTGTTATCTTTTTATCTGCATTGATAACTATTTTTTGAGTTAATTTTGGAGTGATACTATATCTCTCTCTTATTTGTCTCACTAATGCTAATACTTCTCACTGCAGGAAAATTTTATGTAGCCACTGCTATTGTGCTAACAGTATGTGCTATTATGTGCTAACAGTATGTGATGCAGGGGGAGTCTTTCTCTTTCCGTCTTATGTGCAGGGGGAGTTCTTGTTAAACATAGGTTCTGACCAAATCTATGCCAAAAGGGGAGATTGTTGGCGTCAGATTTCTACCGAGAAAGAAATCCGCCTCACTTGGGAAGTAAAGATTGGCGAAAGATTTGTTCCCATGTTTATTTTGGAAATTTAGAGTCCTACCTTTGTAATTTAGATTTATTTCCTTGTTATGTACTTTACTCTTGTTAGGAATCTTTTATAGTTATCTAGATTAGAACTAGATATTGACTAGGATTATGTTTCCTAGTTATTCGGTTCCTTTAGAAGACAGGTCTTTGGAGGCCGATCTCAAGCCTATATAAGGCTCCTCACCTCACAAAGACCGTGACACTTTTGTTGGGAGAAAAATCACTCCATAGCTTTGAAGAATCGCTGAAACGTTCTGCTGAACAGAACTGTGCCATCGTTGGATGTGTCAATATATACAGATTTGCTGTATAGATCTCTTGAGAGATCAACCGCGTCACTGAAGGGAGTTCAGGCCAGAAAGGAGTTCTAGGCACGCTATGTGGAGCTGCTGTTGGAAGAAACACGAAGTTCGAGTTGTGTGCAAGAACGGCATATTACATAAAGAGGGAGTCTTTAGTGTTTTTATTAAGTCCTATTAATGTACACTATAAATCTGAACTAGTGAAATCGTGTTTGCCGGTCCACGTGGATGTAGGGCACAATTGTGTCTGAACCACATTAATCCTTGTGTTCTGTTTATTTACTTTAAGTAGAGTATAACTGTGTCAACACAAGATTTACAGTTGTAACTGAATATTGTTTCCACAACTTAACTGTTACAACTTAGGTTAATTGATTTCTATAGGCATATAAATCAACATGTTCTTTGGTTTCTTGTCCCTGAAGTCTCTCTTCTCAGATCTGCCACTGATAATGAGTCTCTCTCCAGATTCATGAGCTTTCCCTTTAAGTTTCTTCTGCAATTCTTCTGCCTTGACTGCAGATTGCACATCTTCCAGTGATATGGTTTGCTCCCTCCCATACACTAGTGCATCCTTGAAATGCTCATAAGACTTTGGAATAGCATTGAATAGCATCCGAGCTTTATCCTCATCATCAAGCTTCACCTCAATATTCTCAAGGTCATCCACCTCAAACTTGGTAGATCCCATACTGTATGCTCAGATCTTCCCACAGACGGCGCCAATTGTTGTGGATTCATTGTGTTGACTCAACCGACTGTTGACACCGATGTAGATAACACAACTACAGTTACCACAGATCTAAAACTGAAAGCAATAGAACAGATAAAAAACACAATATTTAAAGTGGTTCGACCTGTATCACCACAGGCCTACATCTACTGTGCAGAGAGATCAAAATCTACTAGATCAAGAAGGTTACAAATTACAAGATAGTGATAACACTCAAGCTCTCAACAGCTATTTCACCTAAGATGTATTAACACTCCCATGTGTATACCTCATTGTTTCTCTCTTGTTTCCCAACCCCAAATCTCACAAACCCTGTGAAGATTTCCTTCTTGCTTTCCCTCTAGCTTCTTCTTTTGTTCTTGAGAGTTTCGTCTCTTTCCAGCCCCTCAAGCATTATCCCCTTGATTAGCCTTAGCCTTCAAGCCTATCCACCAAGTGTTTTATATATGCAACAAACCCTAGAAAAAAGCAAACTTGGTCCCCAAGCAAACCACTGAGAGCTCGACAGGTGTCCACCACTCTCAGAGTGGTCCTCACGGGTTCTGTCTTCTAGTGTAACAACTCCTTACACTTTCCAGCTCATCCATTGGCTTTACTTTAACTCCTGACTCAGATAAAGTATCCACTTGGCATGTACACGTGGATATGAGTCACAAAATAACACTATTGATCTACTATGTAAGGGAAAATTAGTAAGACCCCTCAGAAAAGTCATGTGAGGTAGAAACCCCTTAAATTAATTATTTTTATCTAATTATCACTCTCTTAGCCCTAATTACTTCTCACTTTTCCAACTTTTTCTCCTCTCCCTCTTGTGTCGTTCTCTCTTCCTCTTTTCTCTTCTTAGGATTTGACGTTTCTTACAACTCTCTCCACTCCACTCAGCTACCAACCATCATGGCCTAAATCAAGAGAAACTTCCAGAAGTCCGCGGTGGAGGGTATCGTGACTACGCTGTAGCAACAAATTCTTATCAACGATTTAGACAAACAAGAAAAACTTGCACAAAGATAATTTATTGAATTAAAATAAAATATTGTGGGTTACAAACTCTAATTTAATCCTCTGATTCTTCTCTCAAGTACAATATGTGTTTGACTTTGAATTTCGGAGTCGGGTCGTTGACTTGATCTTCTCCGGATTTGATTTGGATTTGAATAACATCTTCTGAGGGTCTTGCAACTTGAATCTCAGATCGAACGCTGAACTTTGACGAGTTTTGACTTGAAGATTTTGGAGTTATTCGAGCGTTGACTTGAAGATATTCAAATTCTTCGAGCTTTGACTTGAAGATCTTGGAGTTCTTGATGGATTTGGCCCTTCAAGCTTCCTTCGATCTTGATTTGTTGAAGAATGTCCTCGATTTGATGAAGAATGATTAAGATGTTGGAGAGAGAATTTTCTCCTACGGTTTTTCTTCTTCTTGAGTTGTGTTTTGAATTGTGTAGGGAGGGTCCCTATTTATAGTGGTAGAATAAGAGTCCTACACAAATTCTTCTTGATGACGTGGCACAATTTGATTGGCCTTTATTAAATTGATATTTATCTCTTGTAACTTGAAAGAGAAGAAACAATCCTATTGGCCAATAATTAATTGATATTTATCTCCACGACTTGTCTTGCAAGACAAGATATAATTGAATTTAGACACAATTTAATTGGCTAATTTAATTAACCAATTAATTAATTTTATGCTTCTACAAATGACCCCTTAGACTTGTTCACGGACAATGCGTCTTGGAGTGAATAAGTCTCGATAATTGCTTAACCTCAATTGCAGCTTGATCTAGCAAAACACATACATCTTTGAAATCATGACTGAATTTAGAGAAATTCTAAGTTGCCTACGTACCCCATAAAGGGATCAAGTCATACTGAGGATTTTGCGGCAGTCACATTTGGCTTGCGAATTGATTGTGTCGTTGATTTTTTTATTATTATTAATTTTTTTCCTCTTTAAATTAATGTGTTAACAATAAATGTCTTGTCTGAAATAGTAATATTACTAATATTAATGTACCAAACAGTAATATCACTGTCACAAACACTAATACTACTATCCTGAACTGTAATATTATGAATATTACTTTCCCGAATAGTAATATTATGAATATTACTTTCCCGAATAGTAATATTATGAATATTACTTTCCCGAACAGTAATATTACTAATATTATTGTCCCAATAGTAATATTATTGCATGAGACAGTAATATTACGGTCGAAGATAGCAAATTGCAGGCCAACACGATAAAATTAATTAATACAGTAAAATTACTGTCTCAGAGAGTTAAGTTATTGTCTCCAACAGTTAAATTATTGTTGGAGACATAATTTAGTAGCCAAGCCAGTAATATTAATTAAAATATTATTTTTTAAGAAAAAACAAGTTTCCAAAAAAAAATCGACGCCGGAGACCGACGGTCAACAGCGGTTGACCTGCCGGAAAAACAAAATCAGAAAAAATAGTCGAATAAAAAAAAAAGTCAACGCCGGAGACCGGCAGTTAACCAGCCGGAAAAAAAAAAGGCGGTCTCCGGCGATGGCGGGTCAAAATAGATTAATTGGTGAAATTTGGGTGTAAATCATGAAATTCGATTTGAATTTGGGTTTCAAGGAATTTGGGGTAATTTTGGTATATATAAAAAGTTTTCCTTATTTGCAATTAAGTTTGAATGTGCTGGATTTATTTGAAAGACAAAAAAAATAGATATCCTTTATTTTTAATTAAGTGTCCTTGTCATGAGTCTATTTGTCATTTACCCTTGTTATATTGGGTATTGTTTCATTATCATTTGGTGGAATGTCTTAGTAGAGAATTTGTACGATGCATTAGGGCAATTGATTGGTAAGATAATTCGATAAAAAAAACATTCACCCTAAATCATTGATGTAAAACTTTGTAAAAAGAAGGGGCAAATTTCATATTTACCTAAAGTCTAAGGGTCATTTTTTTTTACAATATTTCGGGATTTGTTTTTGAAAAATGGGGTGATTTTATAATTGATTTCATAAATACAATAAAACGTCATTTAAAACGACGCTCTTTAAGAACCATTGGATTGTGTCTGGATTAATGGCCATCTCTTCAATTATGTCTTCTTAATCTGATGGTCCGAGATTGATCTGGACGATCGGACAGCCCTTAAAAGGCGTCATTCAAAACGACGCCCTTTGACCTGCCGCACTGGATTACAATGTCATTCACATGTACGCCTTTTAGCAGCTGTTGGATTGTGTTTATATCAACGGCTGAATTTGAGCTGAAGTTTTTTAAATTTTACTTCATTCTTTTTATTGTTAAATTATAATACTTAATTGAATTTTAATGTAAAATTAATTATATGTTGTATTTTAATTTTTTTTTCCTTCATTTATTTATTTAATTTATTGTATAATTCACTATAAAATAATACAAAGTTAATTATTTATAACCTAACAAAAATTAAGAAATAAAGAAATAAAGAACTCTTTTATCAATTATATTTTTTTTTGTGAAATGAAAAGCTTTTTTGCATAAATTATAAATAAAGAACTATTTTGTCAATTATATATATTATTTTTTTTTAATTTATATTTTATTAAATAAAAATAAAATGCCTAATTATTAGGAAATATTTTTTGTCTCTAAATCCTTTAGTTTATTTAATTTTTTTTATTGAATAACTAAAATACTAAAAAGTTTTAATAATTAACCAACATAAACTACATTAATAGTATCACCAATGACGGTGACCTCCGGTGCCACATCTCGGGGGCCTTCTAGTCCTGTGCCCTCTACCAACTTGTTCATCCTCATCATTTTCATTATCACTCGAAGAATTTGCGGATTGAGAATAAGGAATAGGTGTCATCTGACGATCTATCGGTCGCGATGTAGACGAAAACTAATGCGTAGACCCGAAATGAACTGGGTCTTCCGAATTCATATTCGGATTATAGTAGGGGTATGGGTGTACGGATCTGCATCAACAAGATTATAATTATACTCACAGTTGTAGATAGTATTAAAAATAAAATCAAAGGTACTAAACATACCGGATGGATGCCCGTGTGATCTAGGATCTGTATAATTATCGAATGCCGGATAATATGCACGAGAGGAAGTTCCTGCCTCACCATCATACATCTGAGTCTGTGACTGAGGCATTTGAGACAGTGGTATCTGAGTCTGAGTCTGAGGGTGAGTCTGAGTATAAGGCATCTCAGATTGAGGCATATCTGAAGGTCCGTGTCGAGACTCTTAAGACATTAAGACATGTTCTGAGAGTCGGTAAATACGAACGATAGCCATCCCGGGGCGTGTCTCCGCCATCAACAGAAACAATCAACGATCGAAGATGCTGAATCTGAAATAAATAATAAGAAATATTTTATTTTTACAAGACATACATTAATAAAAACTATATAATACACAAAATTTTATAATAAATAAATTTGAATACGTACCATTGTATCCATTGAAATCTAACCTCCAACCTGGAATCCTGTACGATCAGATGGGGTAATCGATGATATGAAACGACGCGTGTGCAGTTCATACCACTCAAAATAACCATCTTCTTGAGTCAAACTGTCACTGGCATATGGATAATCAATAATATAATTGACTCTATTATCCAAAGCGGTAACATGTGAAACATTTGTAAGACTCCAATCTCGGTTGGTAGCACCTGTACGGTTAGCATTGACGTGCATCCGGAAATCTGCCTCTGTATTTTCAGGAGGTTCAGGTATGGGTTGTACCATCCCGAACTGACGTACTACTCTGTCTGGTCGATGCATCTCCACAATTGCGTAGCATATCAGGGGGACTCTCGATACCCATATACCACAACATGTGATCGCCGAATTACCAGCTACAGCCTGATACTCCGGATCATCCAGATCATATGGTGTCCATATAAACTGATCTGGGAGCATCTGATCCAACATCATCCTAAAAATACGAAGAACATGTGCACCAGTCTCAATAAAGCTGACATGGTTGGTCCACCTGTGATATATTATTATATATTAAACTAAAGATAATAATAAAGATAAGGTTAAATGCAAAAATACCCAGTACTATGAACTTTGTATCATATACCCCATGTACTACACATAAATACAAAAACACCCCTTCAATTACATTTTTCCCAAATATGACTATAATACCCCTACTCAAGCATATCTATAATAATATTACAAACATCTTTAAAATCATATTATTGTTGAGAATTTGAACTACCGGAAGACATTTAAGAAAAAAATAAAGAAATTCAAAATGACAAAAATAAAAAGGTTTTATTTATAAAAAAAAAATCTAAGTAATTAAATGTTTTGAAGAAAAAAAGAAAAATATCAAAATGTTCCATATACATTTTCTCTGCATCGCTTCAAAGTGTACCTTGCCTTCATGTAGGATATCTCATATCCTATTTGCGCGGTCACAATCTCTCTTGCCTTTGAAATCTCATAAACTGGATTTTCACGAACACTTTTCAATAGAATTGCGGCGCAATAATTGATGTTCAAGTTGCCATGATTGTTTGTCATCCCTTGCATACCGCAACTATGATCGCCATCGTAGATCCCAATTCTAAATTGTCCTCTATCCCCAATTCTTGATGCTCTTAGCCTCCATCTGCAAGGTCTTGCTTCAGTGCCATGTTTGCAGATAACTTTCCAAGTTCTTTTTGTACTTTCGATAACTTTAAACTCTCTTCTGGCAAATCGAATGGAGTGGTCTCTAACGGCTGAAATGACCATTTCTTTACAATAAAAAATCATCCCCTTTTCGAGAGTACCTTTGCTGCTATCGTAAAATTTTGACCACATACCCGACGGAACATCAACGGAATCGGCTGGGATTTCAGGAAATGACAGAGAGTAGAACGAAGGTGGATCATAAAACTGAGTAGGAGGTTCTGCAAATGATGGAATTTTGACATGAACATGGGGAGTTGATGGAATTTATGCCTGCGATATTGTTTGTACAACGTCGTCAACGACTTCGATATTCTCATCATTGTTCTCTTCACCACTATCATCATCATCTCCATGGTCGGAGGGTTCAGAGTCGCTTCGAACATTTGGCCCATGTGCGTCTTCGAAAGGATCCTCGTCATCATTATTATCACAATGACGAGTTTCATTAGGAAGATCAAAATTTTCATGAGCATTTTTCATACCACTTGATTCCCCAATATATACCCCAAGATTTCGATAAGAATGCCTCGATGGCCCCTCTTCAAAGCCCATATTAGAAAACCTTGTGTAACCGCAATTAACTCAGGATTTGTTTGCATAAAGGAATTGTACGTTTCATTCAAATCAAAAGGTTGTGAAGGCCTCGAAGGGGAGTAGAGAGGTTCTGATGTAGTGAATTGTGAAGGTCTCGAAGGGGAGTAGAGAGGTTCTGATGTACTGGATTGTGAAGGTCTCGAAGGGGAGTAGAGAGGCTCTGATATAGTGAATTGTGAAGGCATCAAAGGATTGTATAAAGGTTGAGACTAGACACGGCCACGGGCCGGTTTTGGGCCCAGAACCGGCCCGAACCGGCCCGTTGACGGCCCAAACCGGCCCGTTGACCAAGTAAACCGGCCCCGACACGTGAACCGGCCCGTCCTCCCCGGGACGGGCCCGGTTCTTAGAAATGGTGAACCGTGAACCGCCGGGCCGGTCCGGCGGTTCACCCGGATATTAAAAAAAAAAATAGAAAAAATTCAAAAAGAAAGCAAATAACGGCTAGTGAACCGGCCCGCACCGGCCCGGGTGAACCGGCCGTTATTTACTTTTTTTTTGAATTTTTTTCCCCCCCAATTTTTCCTATAAATTCGAAATCTTTAAAATTTTGAATTTAAAATTGAGTTCAAGTCTTTTCATTTATTTCCTTTTTCTTTTTCTTTTTCTATTTAAAAGTACTTCTTTTAATTTACTTATTCATAAAATATTTCAAAAGAAAAAAAAAATTCAAAATTTCTGGGCCGACGCGGAACCGGCCCGGATAGGCCCGGAACCGGTCCGAACCGTCGGGCCGACCCGGAACCAGCCCGGATAGGCCCGGAACCAGCCCGGATAGGCCCGGAACCGGTCCGAACCGTCGGGCCGACCCGGCCCGCTGAACCGCCCATACTACGGGCCGGTTCCGGTTCCGGAAAATGTGAACCGTGAACCGGCTTGAACCGGCCCGAACCGGCCCGTGGCCGTGTCTAGGCTGAGCTAGTTGGAAAATATCGGAAAAGGGGGAAAAAGATGGATAATTGTAGGAGCGAGCTAGAGTTTCCGGGGAAAAAGTATTTGCAATGGAGTCGGAAGAGTACATTGAAAATTTTGTTGAGCTCCACATCGGCGATGGGGAAGGCTCCTCCTCCTCCTCGCTGCATAACATTACTGTTGTAACTCCCGATAGAGAAGAGGTACGCTTTTCTGGTTGGGCCTCCCCTCAAATATTCCAGCAGCCCCAAAAGAAAATTAAGTATTAAATCTATTAAATACGACACTGTTAGTGCGAAAGTATTTATTCCATAATTATGTCTCTATTTGTGGAGACAATAATTTAGATCAATTCACAAATAATGACATGTGGAGATTTATGAGATAAATACCATCATTATTGTTGCATGTAAAATGAAGAAAACAACATGACCAAACTTGATTCATTGTATTAATTTTGTATCAACTGTTGAGCTAGGTATATGTGTACTGATCGTTTTTCAAATTTCAATACATTTTCGCATTTGATCAATTCCAATCATGGCATATGATCATTGCAATTTATATATATAAAATTCTTTATTATCATGTTTTACCGACGAGTACTTCATATATTGCATTAAGAAGCGTTAGTGTTTCATATATTGCATAGGAGTGGCCAGACGAAGACCGGCTCTCATTTTAGCCCCACACACGTTACACTCCTCCTCTACTAATTTACATCTCCTTTGATTATGGTCAATAAGACGGGAACTATCTTAGCAAACTTGTCCATGCACTTCTCGTTGGTCGAAAGATGTTCGAATACGAGCAATAACACATTAAGAATCTTCTTATTTCTAGCAAGATTCTTTGTGGCTAAGATCCTGTCAACTACAAATCCCAAGAACAAGAACAGAAAAAAATCCTCTAATTCACCAATAAAATCTTTGACCGATTCAAGTTTTGAAAAATGAAAGTAAGTTTGCGATACTTTCCATTCTGTGTCATGATCTACTGAAAGGGCTATTGTGTCATCAAAAACTTGAATCAAGGCTCGTATTTCCGAGAGTAGGTACGTGTTAGCTTCTGAACAGGAAACATTTAAAATAGTGCCGCTAATGTTTCTAAGGATGTCAATGTTTACTAATCTTGCGGTCCAGTCAAATGTTTGTAATGGGGCGAGCAACAACTTTATGGCATTTGGAATTCGGACCAAAATTCTCAATCGGCGTAGTTCACGCGTATCCGTCAATTCCCGTAGTTCAACGACAACCATTTTTTTCTAGAAACATTAGTAGAGGAGGAGTGTAACGTGTGATGGCCCAAACCGGCCCGTTGACCAAGTGAACCGGCCCGGACCCGTGAACCGGCCTGTCCTCCCCGGGACGGGCCCGATTCTTAGAAATGGTGAACCGTGAACCACTAGGCCGGCCCGGCGGTTCACCCGGATATTAAAAAAAAAATATATCAAAAAAATTCAAAAAAAAAGCAAATAACGGCTAGTGAACCGGCCCGGTGAACCGGCCGTTATTTACTTTTTTTTTGAATTTTTTTCCCCCCATTATTCCTATAAATTCGAAATCTTTAAAATTTTGAATTTAAAATTGAGTTCAAGTCTTTTAATTTATTTATTTTTTTCTTTTTCTATTTAAAAGTACTTCTTTTAATTTACTTATTCATATATTTCAAAAAAAAAAAAAATTCAAAATTTCCGGGCCGACCCGGAACCGGTCCGAACCGGCAGGCCGACCCGGCCCGCTGAACCGCCCATACTACGGGCCGGTTCCGGTTCCGGAAAATGTGAACCGTGAACCGGCTTGAACCGGCCCGAACCGGCCCGTGGCCGTGTCTAGGCTGAGCTAGCTGGAAAATATCGGAAAAGGGGGAAAAAGATGAATAATTGTAGGAGCGAGCTAGGGTTTCCGAGGAAAAAGTATTTGCAATGGAGTCGGAAGAGTACATTGAGAAGTGTGTTGAGCTCCACATCGGCGATGGGGAAGGCTCCTCCTCCTCCTCGCTGCATAACATTACTGTTGTAACTCCCGATGGAGAAGAGGTACGCTTTTCTGGGTGGGCCTCCCCTCAAATATTAAAGCAGCCCCCAAAGAAAATTATGTATTAAATCTATTAAATACGACACTGTTAGTGGCAAAGTATTTATTCCATAATTATGTCTCTATTTGTGGAGACAATAATTTAGATCAATTCACAAATAATGACATGTGGAGATTTATGAGATAAATACCATTATTGTTGCCTGTCAAATGAAGAAAACAACATGACCAAACTTGATTCATTGTATTAATTTTGTATCAAATGTTGAGCTGAGGATATGTGTAATGATCGTTTTTCAAATTTCAATACATTTTCGCATTTGATCAATTCCAATCATGGCATATGATCATTGCAATTTATATATATATAATTCTTTATTATCATGTTTTACCGAGGAGTACTTCATATATTGCATTAAGAAACGTTAGTGTTTCATATATTGCGTAGGAGTGGCCAGAAGAAGATCGGCTCTCATTTTTGCCCCACACACGTTACACTCCTCCTCTACTAATTTACATCTCCTTTGATTATGGTCAATAAGACGGGAACTATCTTAGCAAACTTGTCCATGCACTTCTCGTTGGTCGAAAGATGTTCGAATACGAGCAATAACACATTAAGAATCTTCTTATTTCTAGCAAGATTCTTTGTGGCTAAGATCCTGTCAACTACAAATCCCAAGAACAAGAACATAAAAAAATCCTCTAATTCACCGATAAAATCTTTGACCGATTCAAGTTTTGACAAATGGAAGTAAGTTTGCGATACTTTCCATTATGTGTCATGATCTACTGAAAGGGCTATTGTGTCATCAAAAACATGAATGAAGGCTCGTATTTCCGAGAGTAGGTACGTGTTAGCTTCTGAACAGGAAACATTTAAAATAGTGCCGCTAATGTTTCTAAGGATTTCAATGTTTACTAATCTTGCGGTCCAGTCAAATGTTTGTAATGGGGCGAGCAACACTTTACGGCATTTGGAATTCGGACCAAAATTCTCAGTCGGCGTAGTTCACGCGTATCCGTCAATTCCCATAGTTCAACGACAGCCATTTTTTTCTAGAAACATTAGTAGAGGAGGAGTGTAACGTGTGACGGCCCAAACCGGCCCGTTGACCAAGTGAACCGGCCCGTCCTCCCCGGGACGGGCCCGGTTCTTAGAAATGGTGAACCGTGAACCGCCGGGCCGGCCCGGCGGTTCACCTTGATTTTAAAAGAAAAAAAAATCAAAAAAATTCAAAAAAAAAAGCAAATTACGGCTAGTGAACCGGCCCGAACCGGCCCGGGTGAACCGGCCGTTATTTACTTTTTGTTTGAATCCCCCCCCCCCCAATTTTTCCTATAAATTCGAAATCTTTAAAATTTTGAATTTAAAATTGAGTTCAAGTCTTTTCATTTATTTCCTTTTTATTTTTCTATTTAAAAGTACTTCTTTTAATTTACTTATTCATAAAATATTTCAAAAAAAAAATTCAAAATTTCCGGGCCGACCCGGAACCGGCCCGGAACCGGCCCGACCGGCGGGCCGACTCGGCCCGCTGAAACGCCCATACTACGGGCCGGTTCCGGTTCCGGAAAATGTGAACCGTGAACCGGCTTGAACCGGCCCGGAACCGGCCCGAACCGGCCCGTGGCCGTGTCTAGTTGAGACTCAACATAAACATCTATGGAATCGTTTCCTTCATCCGGATGCAAATAGATTTCTAAATCATCATCACTTGTTATTTCAGAAACTATCTCGCTCCATTGATTTTGATACCATCGTGATATTTTTCCAGACACCGATAACACAAATTCATTTCTATCTATTCGGCAATGTGAGTATATTTTGGCCAAGAAGTCTGAGAAAGATATATCGCGTTTAACTCGTACGACTGTATGATGAGATTGATCATAATTCACTGACAATCCATCATGAACAATCTGGCCTCCTATATACACGAAAACTTTGACAGTATTCTTACCCGGAGTCGCCATTGAAACCCTATATTTTGATATTTTGAGATTATTATTTTTATTTCGAAATATTTAATATTTTCTAATTTTTTTATAGCTACAAACACTAAATGTTAGATTATAAATCAGTTAAAATAAACAATTAATATTTAATATTTTCTAATTCGTTTTATAATTTGATAGTTAGAAAACTATTAATTTATATATTATAAATCCTAAAAAAATTGTGTAATTCGTAATTTTTCGACACATTCATATAACACTAATCAGTTAAAAAACAAACAATTTGTATAAATTAGCAAACTTATCGTTCAAGTAAGACTTTAATTAACCAATAAAATATTTAATTTACCTCAAAGATAATTGAAGATTTGCTAGCACCTACACTCACTTCTCAATCCACCACAAGTTAAACTTCCCCCTAGTTATAATAATAAAAAAACCATCAAAATAAAAATTTCAGCAATTATTTAAAAAAGAGAAAAAAAAAATAACAGCTCCAACCCCAAGTTGTACTATATTTGTACAATATAACAAATAATTACCTTCAAATTATTATTATTTGCTAGCTACAAAAATTCCTTCTCAAACCACCACAAATTACACTTCCACCTAGTTATAACAAAAAAAAAAATCAGCAATAAAAAACAATAAAATTTGTACAATATAACAAATAAATACCTCCAAATAATTAGTATTTGCTAGCAACGTAAATCCCTTCTCAATCAACCACAAATTACATTACTCCTAATTATAACAATCAAAACACAACAAAATTTAAATTTCAGCCGTTATTTAAAAACAAGAAAAAAAAAACATGAAAAGATGTTAAGTTATTAAAACATGGGATCAAAAGTCAAACTAATGTAAACTTGAGGGGCTAAAGTGTAATTTTACCATTTTCATACATTGGTAAGAAAAAAATAAGAATTTGAAAGTTATTGATATTGAATTGTGACTAAATATCCATAAATTCAAACAATTTGCAATCATGAATTTGAAATCTAAACCCTAATCACGGTAAAAGAGACAATTTATGGTCATAAATTAATGGTACTAAGAAAATGGCACACACCTTTTACAGTGATTACTAGCAACAATCACATCAACAATTTGAATAGATAAAAAACACAACAAAATTCGTCTCCTTAAAATTATAAAATATGGAAGAAGTAAACAGGCTTGTCTACGGTTCGAAAATTCTACAAAAACTCTGGTTGAAAAAGAGACAATAAACGAATAAAACCACATAATAGTTCATAAGTTAAGATTTTAACCTAAGTTCCAATGTTGGTAGCCTTTTTGAGAATAACACCTATTCTAATGTCATAACTAATTCTACCAATTTCTTCACTAACCCACTAATAATTAATTAATTTACCCTGCTAATTATTCTACTCGTGTCATATTTAAACCATTAAAAAAATTTAAAATTTCAGAAATTATTTAAACACAATCAAACATTCTTTCTTAAATCCACCACAAGTTAAAGTTTAACCTAAAAATAACAAGTAAAAACAACAATAAAAATTGAATTTCATAAAAAATTATATATATTTTAACAATACAAGAAATAATTTATCTCCAAATAATTGATAATTTACTAGATAAAAATTCCATTAATCCACCATTAATTAAAATTTAACAAAATTATATCAATAATCAAAATCCTATTTAACTATAATAATAATTGAAAGAGTGAAAAAATTTACCTCGATAAGTACCCTGTTGAAATTAATTAAAATTACCTACATTAATTAAAATATAAATTAGCAAACTACAAATTAAACAATAATAAATAATAATTAACAAAAAGAAAAAGAGAGAAAAAAAACAACTTACGGCTGGCTGGGAAGAAGGGAGCAGAGGGAGGAAAGGGAGCAAAAATGAGGGGTGAATTCCAATTCTTTAAGGAACAAATATATATATATATATATATATATATATATATATATATATATATATATATATATATATATTCGGCCGAAATCACGGCCGTTGGATCGAGAAGGATCAGACTGTCCTTAAAACGCGTGATTTGAACTAACGCGTTCAACCCTCTGACAGGTCAAAGCGCGTCGTTCAAAACGACGCCTTTTAAGGGCCGTCAGATCTTCTGATCGATCCGTGACCGTCCGATTAAGAGGACAAAATTGGAGAGCTGGCCGTTGATCGTAGCTCAATCCAACGGTCCCCGAAGAGCGTCATTTATAATCACACTTTATTGCATTTATGAAATTCATCCGAAAAACACCCCAATTCTAAAAAAAAATCCGAAATATTGTAAAAAAATAAATACCCCAAAGTCTAAAGAAGGATCACTTATTTGCACTTCTATCCATCTCAAAATCAGTTTTAGAAAAAATCTCTTGCCCAAAATAACCTCATAGTATAATTTATATTAATTTCATTAATAATGTCCCAACTTAACAAATAGTGCACATTATTAACCTAAGATTTTAACAAATATAGTATGTTAATCCCCATTTTCACTAATTTTTTGAGAAATATTTTTGCTCTCTGAACTTTTCTCCAGCCACTGAACAGAGTTGATCGCCGTCTCCGACGTTGAATTTTTTTTCGGAAAAACAATTTTTCGATTTTTGCTTCCCGCCACCATCGTTGACTGTCTCTGACGCTGAGTTGTTATTTTTTTCTTTTTCTTTTTTCTTTTGAATTTTTTTGATTGTTTCTTATAATTTTTTATAATTATATTGTTTTCACGTCAACACAGTAAGATTACTCTAAATGGGTCAACACAATAAGATTAATCGGAGCACAGTCCAATAATCTTATTGTCTTAATATTAAGTACTTTAATATGTTTGGTGCAAGTACTTTAATATGTTATTTCAGTTGTTTTTTTTTTTAAACAAGCAACACTGTAGTATTATTGTCCTAACAATAATATTACTGTTTGAGACGGTATTATTGCAGGCCAAGACAGTAGTACTAACATTAGCACAATAAAATAATTGTGTTAACAACAGTATTACTGTCAAAGACATTAATATCATAGGTCAGGATGGTAATACTAGTGTGTGTTCAGAAGAATTTTTTTGTCCGGGACTTAATATTGCAGGTCATGACACAAATATTACTTTGTTAACAATAATATTATTTTCTCAGACTGTAATATTGTATTCCAACACAGTAATAGTACTGTTAACACATTAATTATTGTGCTAATAATAATATTATTTTATGGTGGTAAAAAAGCGTGGAAAAAGAAATTAATTCGGGAGACCGTCGACTATCGTCTGAATAAAAAGAAAGAAAAAGAAATTCAATATCAGAGGCCAGCGGTCAACAGCGACGACGGGATGGAAAGAAGTTTCAGTAAAAAAACGTTTAAAAAAGTTAAATAAAAGAAAAAAGAAGTCAACGACGGCCGACCAACCGTCTATATTTGCAAGACACAAAAATTGAATGTTCATTTTTTAATCAAGTGTTTTTGTAATTGGCCCAAATAGAAGATGAAGAAAGGCATGGTCCACTTTCGTTAAGAGAGGACAGATGGCCACTAGTTTCATGGTTCAAGTTGTGCATCTATATTATATACTTATCCACACACACAAGCAATATACAATAGCTCTGCACTTGCACGTACGAATTAATTGAGGTAGGACCAAAGTTAAAAGCTCCGACAAAGACTTATAAGCTAGCGGAGATCAACGACAGAATCCTGTGTAGGTTGATCATATCCAAGATTTTTAAGGGTAGAAGAGTCTTTGCAAATTAAACTCGGTCAATTATGAGGAGACTGAGACCGGTCATCATCGGTCAAAGTTATTTGACCAACCCGACTTTTCTCATTTCCTTTTCTTACACTGTGCTAACTCAAGTTAAAACACCTTTTATATGCGTCTCGCTAAATTATGTCCCCCTTTTCTTAGAGTTTAATCCCACTTTTCATCCTTGAAATTGAGCATTTTTGCACTTTGCACCCTTAAAGATAATTAATAGCATTTTGCACATTTAAAATTCAATAAATTGTTCACAAGGCACCCTGATAAATATTTAAATGTAATGCGAGGTTACTTCAATTTTCACTGGGTTTTTTTTATAAATGGTGCATAAGTATAAATTAAATTATTATTTTATTCTACCTTCAACATAAATTGAGCATACAAAATGAAAAAGAAAATAAAATACAACAAATTATTGAAAAAACTATAACTTCTTACAATTTTTTTTCTCACTAACTCATTCGATTGACGGATCTGTTATTATAATTAGTCAAAACATTTGGAAGAAAATATAATTTTCAAATAACTTGATAACAAAATAGCTGATGGCTTTTTATTATTTTTTGTTTTTGAAAACTAGTTTTTTGTGATTTTTGTTTTTTTTTTTAAATGCATTGATGAGGTTTTCTTTTTATTTTGGCACTTTGTACTTTAAAAATGATTCATAAATAAAAAAAAATGATTTGACATTTGGCATCCTAAAAAACTGCCTATAGAAATATTAATTTTCTTCATAAGCTTTAAATATTTATTTGTGATGCATTATGCATGATTTATTGTGCTTCGAAGGTGTTAAATACTATTATTTTTTTTCCAAGGATGCAAAGTGCCAAAAAATTATATTTCAAGGCTGCAAAGTGGAATCAAACTTTGTTTAAAGAGTATTTTTATTTTAAACATTTGATAAGTTCGGTTGAAGGTGTCTCATTAAATTACTCCCTTGATTTAGGGTACCCGACAATTTTTTGGGTAAATTACGAAACCCCCCTTAACATAGGCCAAATAACGAAAAATACGCCCACCTATCCGTAATAACCAAAATCCCCCTTTAATTAGCTGTTAATCGAGTTTTTTTACAAAAAAATGTGTACAATCTATTATATGTTATGTTAAATAGGTGAAAATTAAAAATAAAATATCTGAAATTGTATAAAGTATTCCCTAATATAAATAAATAAAGCCGTAAAAAGTCACACTGTAAGAAGGTTGATGTAAGTCGGAAACAAACCTCAGGGGTTTTTTCGTAATTTACCGTTTTGTTTTTGAGTTCGTGGAATAGGTAACCGATCTAATAAATGGGTATACCATCATAAATAAGTTTTTAAAAATTATATGTTTAATTATATAAATAATAAACTGAAATGTTAACCGTCGTTTTAATTTTACTAATGTCGTTTTGACTTCGAACCTGATGTCGACATATTTCTATTTCGATTTTGGCAAAATTCGAAACACGAAAACTGTAGTCCTTTGGGTTAGCTTTCTAGTCCAACTTAAATCCGCTAGATTGGATGCCGTGTGACAAAGTTATGCATGAATGAGTCACATTTTGAATTTTAGATGCCTCAATATATCAAAGTTGTGGGCAATATCCATTGATTCATGTATATCTTTCTCGTCCGACATCCAATTTCAGTGATTCAAGTTGGATTAGAAAACTAACTCAGAATACTACAAATTCTATTTTTCGGGTTTTGTAATTTGGAGTTAAAAATTATCAAAATCACGTTTGAAGTCGTAACAGTAAAGTAAAGCTCGAACGACATTTATCACATCCCATAATAAATTGTGTTAATGTTTAGGAAAAAAAATTAACGAAAATACCATATCTTATATATAAAAGAAAGAAACGTTGGGCAACCTTAACAAAATCCTAATGGTATTTCTGTAAATATTTATTTTTAATTTTTTTTTCTCTACTAATTTTTAACTATAATTTTTAATAATTATCAAAATTGAAACTAAACCGTGAATAATCCTACCCTAATCTTATATATAAAAGAAAGAAACGCTGGGCAACCCTAACAAAATCCTAATGGTATTTCTGTAAATATTTATTTTTTATTTTTTTTCTCTACTAATTTTTAACTATAATTTTTAATAATTATCAAAATTGAAACTAAACCATGAAGAATCCTACCCTAATGGTTAAATCCTAATCTATATATTTGAGAATATAAATCTCAATATGTCAAATTTAAAAAAAAAACTAATGTTATATAAAATATGAATAATACTACATTATTAAAATTTTAGCATGTTATTGTACTATATTTTCTTATTTTGTATTAAATTAATTATTTTTTTCAATTTTGAAATAATATCCCGTGCATCGGGGAAAAAAGGCTAGTATATAAAAATCCACTATACAAAATATAAACAACAAAATGGCCGGAAATGATTAAAAAAAAAAGGAAAAAAAAAAAAGAAAAAATGAGAATTCATTTTTGAAATTCGAGTGTTGAAGCTGAAGCATGACTATATTTATTTTGGGGATAATTAGTGAGAACTCCCCACATCATTTACATATATTAGGGTGGATATATTCCCATTTTCATAATTAGTGAGTCCCCCTCTATTAATATTTTCATTTAGAATAAATATAAATCTTTAGTTTTATGTCTATATTACCCGTTTACCATATTACAACATCAAACCCTATTTCTCTAATTATTTCTTCTATTTTTTTTTCAAGCCGTCACGGCTCTCTCCCCTGGGCCACTGCTACTCATCTCCACCAAGCCGCCTCTCCACTTCCACTGTTTCTCAACTTTTCTCCAACGTCGCTTCACGATCTTCCTTGTTTCCACTCATCTATCTTCGTCTCTGATCCACAAATCGCCGCAATCAATCCCCCTTCTAAGTTGTCCGCACATCCGCCGGTGGCGACGACGCGCAATCAGCGATGACTCGCCGGAGTATATGGCGGCGGCGACGCATATATTGTTGGTTGTTATTGAGTAATTAGTAGCCTTCTGGTTTGCTCTTCTATGCTTCGTGGGTATGTGTTTAATTATTAATTAGTTTTGATGGATTTAATTTATTTAAATACATATATAATTTGAAGGACTCATATACATTTGGATTATTTTGGACTGAGAAGTATTGATCCCATTTATAATTTGAGAGGGGGGTTTCACTAATAGTCCCATTTATTTGTCCATAATTTTGATACCAAAGGGAACGATGAGATAAACTTTAATAATAATAATAATAATAATAATAATAATAATAATAATAATAATAATAATAATAATAAAAAAGTAATAACCAAAAGGAGATTTTTATTTTGACACGACGACTGGATCGAGCAAAAGTATACACCCGTGTGTGTGCATATATGAACGAATATACATTTATCATATCATTCGTTTATCAGTTCATGCACCACACATGTACAGAAATTACTTTAGATCTAAACATGTCTTATTTTTTCCTGGTCAGCTTTTAATTACTTTGAAGTACGTTTAGGGTTTGGCTTGAGGTTCAGCATCCACCTTCTGACCAGCAAACGTACAACACCTGCAACCCCCTCTGTAGTAGCTCCTTCCACAGCAACCATAACGGCACCTTCCACCGCCGCCGCCTCGTCCGCCGCCATAGTTGCCGCCACCATTACCACCGCCGCCGCGTCCTCCGCCATAGTTGCCGCCGCCATTACCACCGCCACCGTGTCCGCCACCATAGTTGCCACCGCCATTACCACCGCCGCCATAGTTGCCGCCGCCATTACCACCGCCACCGTGTCCGCCACCATAGTTGCCGCCACCATTTCCACCGCCTCCTTGGTATCCTCCATTTCCGCCTCCTCCGTCAACTTCCGCTGCTGATTTTATTAATTTAGTCAAAAAATACATATTAATTAGCTACATTAATAAGTGACAAAATAATCTTTAGGACATTAAAATAATTAGTACTTGGGATAAAGTTAGAGAGAGAGAGAGAGAGAGAGAGAGAGAGAGAGAAGGAAATTTCATACATGTTTCAACGGTAGTAGAAGTCTGGGCGAGATCTCTAGCTGCAGCTTCTGATGATATGAAAATGACAACCATAGCTAAGAAAAGAACAAGAAAAACTATTGCTTTTGAAGCCATATTTGATGATTTGATGTGTTGTTACTTGTTTTTGATGAGAATACTGTGTAATTGGCTTCACTATTTATAGAAGAAAACTATACAAGTAGAGGTGTGATATTTGTATATAGAGCGCTGTGGAAGAGGCGTTATTTTAAATGAGTCCAAACAGAACCTTATCTTTCATTAATTAATTAATTGCATATATCTCTATCTATTCTTGATCACATACATGCAGACCCACACCCATACATATTATATAACAAAGCAAATTCTGCAGAGATATTAATACTATGGGGACATGCATACACTTGTCTATCATGTGTGACCGTACTTCCTATAAAAAATAAAATAAAAAAGGTGTGACTGTAGTAGTGTACTAACTAATGGGAAATCTGAATTTTATGCCGACCTAAAATTACTCTTCCTTTATGGTTACAATAAGGGGCGGAATCAAGAAATTATAGTTGGGGTCCAAAATAATAAATATCTAAAAATATCAGAAAATAAAATAAAATAATATTTAAACTCTATATGATAATAATAATAAAATAAAATAAAATTATCATCTGTTTTATCCACGAAAAATTCTACCCAATTAGAAATTAAAATTAATTTACTACAAAAGAACATTTTTTCGTCTCCGCTAACCCTTCACACAATGCTGCTAAAGTCGATATCTGACATAAATCTGGATGCTTTATCACATCTAGATAATAATGTTGCAACTAAAACTTCAAAAGGAGTCTTTCTTGTTAAGTGAAATCCTCATGAGGATAATATTTTTCAACAAGAATGCAAATATCATCTGCATTAAACGACTTATATGAATTACTAGGATTTAAAGCGAGACTAAGAGTCAAGAGTTCCATTGTTTGATCACAAAATATGTTGTTCAACTCTTTCAATTGAGTGTCTATTGTGGTATTGAAGATATCAAAATGAAAATGATGCTCAATAGTAATATTAATATCTCGAGGTTGATGAATCAATTTTCCTCGATCGGCCTCCTTTATAAGCACTATTCATATCAGGCATCTCAATATTCATGCTTTCACAAAATGATATAACATCACTTAGAAAAGCATCACATCCATTATCTCTCAATTTTTGAAGCTAGATTCATAGCATTTAATATATCTTGAGACTTTTGCTGCAAAACTTGGCAAAGAACATCAGTAATTCCCATCACTTCTTTCATCGACATCAGAATAAAGACAAACTGAAAAGATGTCATGGTAGTATAAGCAGAATCGGCATCACCACGTTGAGAAAAATTGGCTCCATCAACTATAATACTTTGAAGCACAATACGAGGAGCATTAAACATTTTTATTAAGCTACATATTGAAGAAAAATGAGAACCCTAGCGAGTATTACCTGCCCGTTGTAAAGTACGAATCTGGTTAGCTCATTTACCGTTGTAAAACGTTCTTGAAGAAGACCACCTTTGTCGACAAACCTCAAAACAAGATCCATTTGCTCTTTTTTTTTATTCATCCCGTGCTTCGTCAACTAGAATGCAAAATTTTGAATCACCAATATCTTCACGAATTTTGGTTCGCACTTTTGTAGCAATTATATGCAATATCTCCTTTTGAATCTTTCCAGATGTGTATTTATCATTATGAGGAGCTTTCTCCAAAACTGTTTCAGATACTTTATCATTATAACTTGCCAAAAGTTTCACCATTTCTATAAAGTTGCCCAGATTGCTTGATTTTGGCCCTTCATCATGTCCCCGGAAAGGGCATGATTGATATGCAAGCCACCGGACACAATCAATCGATGTCTTCAGCCTCAAGCAATTTTTAAGTATTTGTTCTGCAGCAGAATGTAGGGAAGAATAATTTCCCACGTGAGTTAGAAAAGCACACGTCTTGTCGTTAACCTTTTTCCAATCGCGAAATCCTACTACAGTATATGCAATGGCCCCAAAATTTCCATTTGGTTACCTTGCAAAAAGATAACAAGGTAAACAATATGTAGCATATGTAGTAGGTAACTATGTTGGAAATTGGGCAAATCAAGAATACTGAAATCTCCTTGGATATTTTATATTTTTTTAAAAGGAATGCTTTGATATAAAATTGATATGGCCCCATTTTGATATAAGAACGTCGAATTTCATCTTGTTGGTTAACACGATATTGCCAAATTTAGAGACACTTTCCCGGATCACGTTCCAAAATTAATTCTTGGTTAGAATCAACTGCGGAAATTTGCTCAAGTTTATAAGTTCATCGTTATGAGCAGAAGGTTCGACTATTTCTTGGTCATCAACATTGGAACTATCAACATCAGCTATTTTTGGCACTTCATGATCACTCTCAAAAAATGTTCCAATTGTGGTTTTTTTTAATCGATTAGATTGATGTGTAGACATCGCAATAACAAACCTAGAATTACAATTAAAAAAAACGAGTCTTTGAATTATTAAGATGGAGGTAAAAAAAACACGGTGAAAAAAACTCAATAAACCCCAAAAATCAATGAATACGATTATGAAAACGATATCCAATAAAAAAAATTATATTAGTTGTAAATAACCAATTTATGATTAAGTGAACACCGAAACTCTAGATATTCAAACAAACACAAAAAAATAAAAAAATCAAATATAACAATATTATATGAAAATTAAGAAACAATAACCATTAAAAAATCTCATAAATACAAGGCAAATAAACAATATAAGATGAGATTAAAAATTGTACATGCAAGTTTTGGAGCAAAAGAAAAAGTTAGGAAGCCCCTCTTTTTATAAGTTATGTTGTTTTATCCTTTAGTTTGATGTGGATAGGACTTATGAGTTATTGTCTTGTGAAGAGTTAGTGGGGGACCACAATTAATGTACTAGGGTAGATAATAGAGACGAATATTTTTTCAGTTTTATTACCCTTGTTTATATATTTTTTTACGTACCAATCCAAATATAACGTAATAAAGCATATTTCATTAGCTAGATTGATAGAATATGGTTAATTCCAACTGTATTAATTTACAGAGGTTAACTGTAATTATTTAAATAAGATCATTGCTGCAAGAGAAAAAAATTATCCATTCAGTTGATTGTTAAATGAACATTATTATTGACGCAGAACGGAAGCACGATAAAAGAATTAGGGAAAATTAGCAAAAACCCCCATCTAGAAAATGTAATTGAAGGAAATTCCCTTTCCAATAATAATTAGAGAAAATGCCCTTAACTAATATGTCACCTAAATACTATTTTCATAATTCCAAAACTATCCTTCCAATATCTCTTCTTCTTTCTCCTTTTCTCCTTTATTTATTTTATATATACGTGTGTATGTATATTGATGCGATCTCTTGTGTATCATAAGATTTCTTTACTGAACGTAAGAAAACTCTTGTTTATTATTTATGTTCATAATCAAAACCCTAGCACAATACGACTATTTAAAGAGAATAAAACCCTAGAATCCTAATCTAACTAGGAAAGATAATTACCTATACTAATAAAATACTAAATATCTATCATAAATACTAAACACACGGCACTATAAAACTACCTATACTACTTTAATTAATTAATAATCAAATACCTAACCTAATCAATAATTAAATATAAATTAAATATTAATAAATTAAATAATATATCCCAACATATATTTCCATCAAAAAAAAAGTGTATGTATATTAGAGAGAAAGAATAGTGTATAACCACAAACTCCTCTGTAGAGAGAGAAATGAAGAAATTTGTAGATAGAGGGAGTTTTATGGATGGTTGAAGATGAATAGATAGTTGGGCAATGATCAGTCTACGAATAATTCAATTTCTTTTCTTCTGCTACAATATTGAATACCAATAGATATATTTCTCAAACAAGTCAACAAGAATTCTCACAGAGAAAGAATCGCTAAGCCCATATTCCGAAAGCCTCTCCCTCTTCCCACCACTGTCGCCGCCGTTGCTTCTTCTAGCGACCCGAATCCGCTCAATCCGGGTTTAGCGCAACCCCAATCGCAGCAGCCCCCAGTCTACAACATCAACAATGAAAAATAATTGTATAGTGTGTTTTTTGGGTGCTTTGGTTGGGTGGTGGTGCGGTTGTGAATTACTTTAATTGTAATAAAAAACCGTCAGAATATCGAAGTGGGGTGGTGATGGTGTGATGTGTGGTGAAGATGGAGAGCAAGTCTAGGGTTTTTTGGTAGACTGGGCGGAAGACATGCGGTAGAGAAATTCGCGCAGGATGGACCCTTAATTGACTATGTGTTTTTTTCGGTAGCCGATTAAGTTAATTGACTATCCTCTGGTAGTCGATTAAAGTGTTAATCGGCTGTTCTGGTAGTCGATTAAGGTTACTCTATTTCATTTTTTTAATTCATTTTTGGGTTTTTGTGTATTGATTCCGATTTGTATAAATCAATTACAATTTATGAATATTATTTTTTATGTAAAAATAGTGTCGATTTTCGTTTTTACATAGTTGTGTTATTTTTGTTTTTATTTTTAGTAGTCAGTTTCTTAATCGACTATGCTTATATCTCATAGTCGATTAATATACTTGATAGAAAAAAAAATTAGAAGACAAATATTTTTTTTGAAATTTTTAAAAATTAAAAAAATTACAAAAATTAAAGAAAATCAAAAAAATCAAAAAGATTAAAGAGATTAAAAAAAAAAGGCAAATGAGGTGGCAGGGACATAATTGGTGATAGTATTGATGGGTGTGGTATGGGCATAATTGGAAAATGGGTGGCTAAAATTAAGAAGGGGCTTTTCTCAAATGATGCAAAATAGTTTGAGCTTCTCCCCATTAAAATAAGTATTGAATGGGCCCCAAAGAATTAATTGCAACGAATTAATTATACAGAACAAAATAACATTCGGAATCCACCGAGAACTTTGGAATCCACCAGAAAATAGAGAAAACTCTAAATATTTTATTAAAATTCGAAAAATTCTTCCTAAAATAAAGTCTTAAGACAACTATTTATACTAATAAAACTGAAAATCCTAATTAAGCTAAGAAAATACTAAAAATCACCAAAAACGGCAAAAACGAGTTAGAGCCTGATTCTAGTAGTTCTCGTAATTTTGAGAACAACGCAAGTTACAGAATCATAATCCAGTTTTTCTATGATTTGATATTAACTTTCTAAAACTTGCCACAATAAAAACGAACTTTTAGTATGTCTACACGACGTT